CTGCAGTCAGGATCCCAGAGGAGTAGGGCAGCATCACCCGGCCAGCCAGCTGGATGAACTCCCTCATCCAACACATGGCCGTCAGCTGTATCAGGTCATCTAACAGACATGGACCAAAGGAAGAGGTGAGGAAGAGGCAGACTGCTCCCTGCTGTTCAAATCACCACATGTTTACAAGCATGAAACCAGAAAACAGAAGAAGCAAGGTGTCATCCTGCTACGGAGATGGAGAGAGGAGTGTGGGGTGCTCACCTCAGGCTCCTTTTCCCCAGAATCCCAGAGTAACTGAAGATTGTTTGATGACAGTAGTGAGATCAAATGAACACTTTATTGTAATCATTAGCCTTCAGAGTTTCCAGGCAAACTAAATTACTGAGGGCAGTCTGACATCAGTAGGCATTTAGATAAAGTTTATAAAGTTTCTAACTGGTACTTAGGCCCCAGACATTACAGGTATTGCACAATTAACTGGTTAATTGCACAATTACCTGGAGACCAGGTACACGTGCAAAATAGCTATCATACAACAAAAAGCTCCAGCCAGGTATAAAGTTAGTACTCTACTAACTTAATAGCTGGCTGCCATTGAGCTTTAAATTTGCACATGTAGCAGGGTCTCCCCTGCAGCTTGGAGTCCTGCCAGCTGACAGGGCTCCCAGATGCAGGGGAAAAATGCCCAGATGCCAAATCCCAGATGCCCAGCGTAAAACTCTCAGGCCTTGTGGATCGAGGCAGCCACAACCCCCTGGGGTGGGGGATGCGTGAAACTCCCAGGCCCTGGGGATCACAGCTAGGGCTGTGTGGTGCATGAAACCCCCTGGGGCAGAGGACTGCCACAGGAGTGATCCCAGCCACCCCAGGGATGTGGGAAACCCCCAGGGCTGAAGGACTGGTGCTATAGCAATTCCCCCCGACCCAGGGGTTTCTTGAACTGGGGTGCATGGGACTCCCAGATGTGGGAACCTGCTTCTTGCTGTTGCAGGGGGAGCCTGAGACTAGGCTTCCACTGCACTGGCAATAAGGCATGAGGGGATCTAATGCACAATCCCACAATTGTCATGCCTTTAGCTGCACTTGTAGAGGGGGGCCTTACACAACTAAGCAGCCTCCAAAGTAAAGGCTCACACAACCCAAGTCAGCCCCCACCCAGCACAGGGGAAGGAGCGCAGGTCTTATATTGTTTATACTCCACTTGATAAAGCAGGTGTCACAGGTACCTGCCTGAAGACTTAGGCAAACAGTACCGCACTGGGTCACATCCAGGTGCTCTCCATGTCCACAAGAGCCAAGAGAAAAATACGTGCTTGTATATACATGGCATGTGCCAGCCAGGGGCTTTTAGATTGCAGCATCCTCTGTGCTGGGACTCGTGTGAACATTAGCATAGGCAGAAAAAGCCTCTATTGACATAGAGGGAGCAAACCTTAGTTTAAAACCCAGGTAAGCTGCAACACAGCAAGCCAGGCCTTAGTTTACCTTGTTTCCTCCTGTGTTTCACTACATCAGTGCAGCCACAGCAGTGTCTTGCTGCAGTTGGTGTAAATCCCAGGAAAGGACACACAAAGACATAGCAACACTCTTCAAAATGCAGGAAAGGAAAGCCCCAAATTGCTACAGCAATAAACTGATAAAACCAGGCTGGTTTCTAAGGCCTGGTCTCCACAGTTATATCAGTTTAGCTAGAAGCATTATTTCATATTAGTGTCAATTAGTCTGAACAGGTACAACTATGCTGGAACATCCCATTAAGTTAGACCCGGCTTACAAGCTTAGCCAATGTTAGTGAATTCACAAGCAGTTTAAAACAGATACACGGTTAAACTGAAACAAGTTTGCCCATGCAGGGGCCTATACACAATTCAATCAATTACAATGTTCAAATGATTTAAGTTGAATCAGCATAACTTATGTGTAGACAAGACCTTTCTCAGACAGTCCCCAACATTACATGTGTCCATTCCCCTGTGAAGGCGATTGCCCAGTGGGTATCTGTAGAATCCACAGGATGGCACTTTGCCACAGAGTGGGCTGTGACATCTCTGGACACTACAGAAACACCAGAGGCAACTGGGGGCTCTAAACTTTCAAACACCAGAATACCTAAATCCATATATAGCGGTTTTACTGGTAAAGGTGCTGAGCTCCAGCTGAATTCTCCTACCCTCAAGTTCTAAAGACAACCACCTGTTTGACAGCAGAGTTTCATAGTTTCTAGGGTCGGAAGGGACCTGAGTAGATCATCTAGTCCGACCTCCTGCCATGGCAGGAAAGAGTACTGGGGTCAAATGACCCCAGCAAGGTGTTCATCTAACCTCCTCTTAAAGACCCCCAGGGTAGGAGCCAGCACCACTTCTCTTGGAAGTTGGTTCCAGATCCTAGCCGCCCTGACAGTGAAGTAGCGCCTCCTGATATCTAACCTAAACCTACCCTCTGCCAGCTTGTGACCGTTATTCCTGG